CTCCTGCATCAAATGCACATGTAGACACACCTAGCAAAGGTCCAACTGCTCCAAACTCAACCTAGCCTTAAAGTGTGACTGCTCCAAACTCAACCAACATTTGAGCAGCCCAAAGTGAAATTTGCAACAAGGCGTTTCGACAGCTTTGCCCAGTCTTTGAATGGGATCCTGAGAACTACTTTCGGGTGGGCTGAATTTGTAGTTTGTGCTTAACGCTATATGCGAGATAAATCTGGGCCAAAGCCAGAGTTGAGCCATGACTTGCCCTGGGCTGGGGTGGCTCATGTGGTGAGGGAGGGGGCATGCAGCTGAGGAGACTGTTATTTATATCTACTGGAAGAGATACTACTGTCCTTAGTGTCTCCCAAAATAAAGAAGGGGGAAAGGTGGAAGTCCAGCAAAGAACACGTTCGAATACTCGGGGATACTCTATCTTAGTGTCCCGAATTTAAGCACAGACATACTTTAGGATCTGAACTAGTGGATTCAACACATTTATATATCCCAGGAAACTTGTCTTTTATTGTATAACATAGTTAAAACAATAGAGAGAACAGAAAAGACCATTAGGTAAAGCCATCACCTATTTACAAGATCTTAAAAACAGCACTTCATAAAGAGAAGGGACTTGTTATTTTATTATTCCTCTAAAACATCCTTGTGTGTGGTAATTTCTTGTTTGCTTATTACCACACATTCCAAATGTAATTTGCAACATACAAAAACATTAGTATTATCCAATGAAACATTTTAAAAGATGCTAGTTTAAGTTCAAATCTAAAGGAAAGAACTAAATAGGATTTTCACCTGTAACTCCTCAGTAATATATAAGGCCCTTCCCCTCACTCCACTGTGTGGTGCTTCATTCCATTCTGATTATGGCTTTCCAGCTACTGTTCATGCCCTGTTAAACAGTTTTTAGTCTAATTAATTATCCTGGTGTTATGAAATCACAAAAGGATCCTGCTCTTCCAGGTACATGCAGACTCATTAACATCAAATTTAATGAATGGTCTCTCTTCTAAAAAAAAAAAAAAAAACTTGCTCAGAAGACATAAGAAATATACAGGTACAGAAATTAATCAGTTAAAGGTAATTTAAACAGGCTTTGCTAGTACTATCCAGATTTCAGTTATTTACCACAATGGTAAAAGAAAGTGATCTGGTTACTACCTTATGTACAAAAACATCACAAAATAAAGTATTTATTTGAAAATAGATGTTCACGTCATACTAAAATGTGGAAGTAGCTGCAAAAGGTTGTTATTAAGAGTCCTAATTCAATTCTTTTTGCTGAGAAAACAGTTCATTTAACTACTACAATGAGAATGCCTCAGGGAAGTGTGCTTCAAAAAAATCAAACATGAAAACTCTGTAATAAGAGATTGCTTAGAACAGTGGTTCTCAACATTTTTGGATTTGAGGCACCCTTTCATAGATTCAAGGCACCCTTTGGAAAAATTCCCGCATTTATTTTTCTCTTTTTTTTTTTTTTTTTTTTTTTTCTTTTTTTTTCTTTTTTTTTTTTTTACTGTGGAAAAATAGAGCAATTCTTCTGTTGCAAAGAACTCAGGAAGACCACAACAGGTCCAATATGTTTTCACAGCTAACGGTGCAAAATTGCATGACATGCCACAGCACCCTTAAAAGGATTCACATGGCACCCTTGGGAGTGCCTATGGGAGTGTTTGGATTCCAGCTATCAATCTGATTCATCAATCTGATAAGGGGCCAATTGCAAGACATGAACAAAAAAATGTTTGTAAAACCCTTTTCCCCCAAAGAGATTGGATCCAGAGCTTTGGTTTGGATCAAATGCTACATTTTTCTGGAAGTCTTATCACTGTTTATATAAATAATATTTTCATAAACTACTAACCTAAATATGAAACATTCCATACTTATTTTATGAACATCTTCATGTTGTATTATATAGAAACATTCCAGAATACTGGATGGGCTATAACTTAGTAACAATGTAAGACTATGGGCTTTTTGTATACTGCTGTCTATACTCAAAGAATACAAGAAACGGGTTCCCCCCCATTCAACATGGAAAGAAAAAAACAATTGTTTTCAAAAACATTCATTTGGATTTGAGTACCACCCCAGAGCCAATGGCTGCTGTGGCCCTAGTCAGAGCTGCAGCCTGCAGCAGGCCAGGGCCAAGGGAGACCAAGTAGTAGAGAATGGTTGGGGGAAAGAGAACTGTTCAGGAGACTGCATGTGGGAGAAACTCCAGAGCAAAACCATTAAAAAACTCTCTCTCCATGCACAGTGTGAATGCCAAGTTTTAAATATACAGCACACTCAGAGACATATAGGCACAGAAATACACAGAGAAGCAAAATACACCGTACAATGATAATAGCTACAGAGAGCATTCCCACTAAGCTGTGGCGTGCACAGTCACGCAGGCACGCCTGCCAACATAGCATGAGCACGCCTGCACGTGCCACACAGCTTAGTGGGAATGCTGGCTACAGAATACTCAAATTAATTCTGTTTATCATTTGTCAAAGATCATAGTACATAGCGCAAATAAGATAATGAACAACTCAAAGCGTGTACCTTAACACTTAATTCCTTTAAAGATTTAGATTTTCAGAGCAATGCACGTGCCTTGGAATTTGTAAATATGTCCATGAATTTGTGTTCTAATTAGTCTAAAAATTATTATAATTACATTTCAAGTGTTGTAGTTGTATATGAAAATGATAAGTTAAATGTTTAAATGACCATTAGCATCCATGACCAAACTGAATATTCAGAGAAAGGAAACAATACAATTATACTTCTGAAAGTCTGGCCCAAACTATTTTGTATTGCAAACTGATTCATTATTGTAATATCAGAATACTGATATAATTGTATCAGTAAATGGTTCCCAGTAACAATTAAGTGTGCCATTTGGATTTTATTGAGCATGGAACTCATCAAGCAAATGTTGACATCTAGTTATCTTGAGCTTCATATTAAAACTTTAACTTTTCATAACTACAAGCTTCTTAAAATAGAAGGGAAAACATCACATAATTATTTATTATCTTAAAAGAAACAAGATTAAAACTAGTCATTTCAATACAGAGCTTACAAAGGCAATAGTTATAACTTTAAAACTATAAATAAAAGACATATTACTGATTTGAAAATAAAAATCATTTTAAAAGGACAGGCAAAATTAACCCATAAGTATTCTAGGGGAGGGGGACAGGAGTAACATAATTTTTTATCATTAAAGTATATTTCAAGATAACAGTTTCTAAGTAAAATAAGCCTGTGGATCTCAACTGTGAAGAAAAGTAGAAAGAAAAAAGAAAATCAGCGCTCATCAAAACACACTCTACAGACTGTATAAATAGGCCCATAACTCAAAATGAGATGATATTTGCTGCTTTCTACTTTCAGTGCTAATGCAGTTTTTGGAAGCAGAGGAATCCCACTATAAAAATTTATTCACTAGACATCTAATGCTCGTAGCTATATTTCCAGAGCCAAAATAATTCAGGGATATATTTCTTTGTACTATCTGTGGACCAGCATGAAGGTTAGACTGATAAAGTAATATATATATATGCATATATATTACCTGTTCTTGCCTCTCCAGCCACTTGTCCACCATGGGATGACTGGCACTTAACGATGAGCGAGCATTGTCTCTCTGAAACTGGTTAGACCAGCTACTAGTATCCCGTGGTAGGCTTCTGTAGTTTTCATCTTTCTATTTCAAAAGAAACAAAAAAGTGTCTTATAAAAAACAACCAGTCCTTGCACATTAACAATGCAGCTGGTTTAAGATAATACAAAAGGAAAACCAAAAAAGGTGAAAGCAAGTTTGGCCAGATATGCCGAAGAGTAGCATGTACAATTCTATTGCCTTGAGTCTATTTCTTGCCATTTACTTGCAAAAGACTCAAGTCCCTATTTGAGCCAGTAAGAGCCAAGTAAAGCCTTTTGATGCTCTCTGTCTCCTGAACCACCTTGTTTCATAAATTCTTCCAAGCTTAAACCTCTACTGGACTGGCTCCATAGGAACAGGCTTCAAGAGGGTTTTGGGGATCTCAAACAATTTTTTTTCAACAAAGTAAATTAAATATAAGAGATTGAACCCAAAAAAATACAACAGCATGGTCAGTACTCATCTTAACATGTAATTATCTTGAGGTTGCTCTACAGCTCACATAATATGAGATTCAGTGTAATGATACTTTAGAAATGATACTAAGAAGATTTTATCCTGACACAGCATAAATATTTAAGCAATCTTAATAAAGGATTTGAACTAGATACAGGTGCTTGTCAATATACCCTGAATTCTTTTGACATGTGCCTGTGTATTGTATGTTAACCTTAAAAAGTAATTAAAGAAATAGCATTTTTAAATGTTATTCTTTAGATTGCCCATCTTAGTTTGGAGCGTGTATCCTTATCAATGTTTGGCTAAAAAAATAACAAACATGGGATCACTTGTAAAGCAGTTACCTGAGAAAAACTGTACTAGCAAGAAGTATACATTTATTTTCATTAAGATAGTCAAAAGTGGGTCTTGGGAGTTGCATTTTATTTTAATCAATTAGTTATGGTTCATTTGACTTCCCACCCCACCCCCACAACACATCACTACTTCTTCTTGATGCACGCTGCCCTATATCATATCATTGCTTCTCCTTTTAAAAGTCTTTACAACCAAACCTTAACATTTCAGATTATTCAAAGCCAGTAAGACACGGAGGCAGATCAGAAGTGTCATTAGTCTGGTAAAATCAATGAAGCTACAACAGTAGTAACTCCAGTAATTGAAATGATATGTCAAATTTTTGCAGAAATTTTAAAACGCAAATATAAAAATACTACATGGATCTTGCAAGGACAGAATAGTTCTCATTCTAATTTGGACCAGATGGGAAAGAGACTTTTTCTGATACATTTTTCCCCTCTATTTATGCTGTACATGCGTTCCCGGAGAATGGTGCATTAATCCAATTAGCAGGAAGCGAACCCACCTTACAATGTAACAAATAGGGATAGGTTCCCATGGCAGTGAGGGAGGGAGAGAGAGAGGGAAGGAGTGAGGCTAGGACTAGGGAAGGGATGGAAGGAGGGGTGCCGCTCCCAGGGCTGCACAAGGCAGCAAAGCAGAGGAAACAGTGGCACTCACCCCAGCCCCGACTCCAGTGGCCCTGGGAGCAGCTGGCGCCAGCTACCTGCAGCCGCTCGGCTGCACTGTGCTCCACCTGTCCCCACTCACCTATGCTCCTGGGCTGCGCCATGTCCTGATGCAGGCAGCTGGTGCTGGCCACTCCTGGGGCCACTGCAGCCGGGGCTGGGGTTTGTGGGGCCATGGCCCTTTCCCCTCTCCCCCCAAGACTCACCTGCTTGGGTGGGGGGAGCATCTATGCTGATCACATAAGAGCAAATTTATCTCACATATAACGAATTATGGGTCTAAATATGCTCATCACATAAGAGCGAATTCACATATAAAGAACCCGCATAAATCGAGGGAAACCTGTAGGTGTTCTTCCGAGGGATGGGGACTAGTATTTGGGTTTTAATGTAGCATTCTTAGTGACCCTTCACTGATGAAAACCTGAACAATGGAAAAATCTCTGGAAAATTCTGAATTTCTATGGAAAAAGCATGACTTTTTCACAACTCTTATAGCACACCTGTCTTCTTCAAAACATTAAAGCTCATTCCTTGGTCACAAACATAGTGTGTTAGCTTGACTTTTTTTACTCCATTATTTAATATTACCTGGGCCTAGCTTCAGCAGCAGGGCAGGCTTAATGGTCCATCATGCAAGACACACAGAAGAAAATGTAAAGTGCTTACTATGACATGCTATGAAATGAAACCTTCAATGCCTATGTGAAGACACATGGATTTCCAGGAAAACTCATCTTTTTCCATAACTAAATTAGCATTTTAATGCCTTAATCACTGACAAGTTCTTTACTAGAGATACTCTCAGCAATTGCAAACAGAGCTTCAGTATCAGGGAATTAGAGCTCATAATTCAAACAGTACAATCATCCTTATTATAAAATGTCTCTCTGAACCGCCATTCTAACAACATTTCCTACTAACCTGTTCTGCCTGTACTACAAATAAGTTAAAAGCTTCTAATTTATGAACAATCAAAAGAGATATGGGTATTTCAGTATCAGCTGAATACCAACCTGGCACAAGGTAATAGGCCCTAACACAGGGGTAGGCAATTATTTTGGGTGAGGGGCCGCTTAACAAGTTTTGCCAAGCTGTCCGGGGCTGCATAGGTAGCCCCACCTCTTGACAGTTACCCTGCCCACTAGTCACCAGAAGTCCTACCCTCTAAGCCCTGGCCTTTGCCACCAGAAGTCCTCCCTTCGCTGCCCTCCCCAATACTCCTTTTGGGAGGGGGAGTTGCCATCTTAGAACCAGAAGAAAAAAAAAAAAAAAATCAAATCGTACACTAGAAGTCAAACACCTACTGTATTTTAATTTTATCACAAAAAATATTTGTCATGACTTGTGATTGTGTACTGTATATAGAAGGGATTGCATATAGCAAGGGATGCACGTGCACCCCCTAGGCATCACCCCTGTGGAGCTACAAGCATGCAGCATGGAGCTCTGGTGATAGGGCAGGCTCCACTCCCTCCCCCCGAGTAGCGCTGGCCAGAGCCATGCCCCACTGGGCGCCTGCACTGGGCACAGGCACCCTGACCTCCCCACCTGCTGCTGCTGCCAGCAGTGAGGGCTGAACACCATGATAGGAGTTGGGGCGAGTCCCTATACCCCCCCACCCTCACCCTGCCCAGCTGAGATCCACACTGCCACTGTCCCTCCAGGTGCAGGCTCTACGCTGCGCTCCCACCAAACTGCAACTCTACGCCCCCTCACCAGCCCTACCACTTCCCTACAAGGTTCCAGCTGCAGCAGGAGCCCTGCCCAGAAGCCGCTGGCTGGGCAGAGCCCTTCCACCCATAAAGGTGGGAGTGAGGCCCAACAGAGTACGTTGGGGGCTGTAAACATGGGTAGAAGGGCTGGGCAGGATGCAATTCATTGTGAGGGGGTGGAGGTTCCGCAGGCTGGATGAAAGTGGCCAGTGGGATGGATTTGGCCCGCGGGCTGTATTTTGCCCACTCCTGCCCTAACAGTACTCTCTCCCCTATCTCCTCCACCTTCTAAACCTGAAAGGCAGCCAGTGAACTGTATACAACTCTGCTTAAAAAGTTTCTTCAGCACAGCCATAAAGGGCAGCAAGTGGCATGTAACAAATGAAGTGCTCCTGTTGCTTTTCTCATGCCATTTCCCTTCTTTTGGCAAAAGAAAGTGCAATGACCATGAGTCAAAAACAACAATTAAATTGTTTGAGGTGGCAGAAATGTATAAGGAAAAAAAATCACAATCTGGAGAAGGAAATAAAGAAATACAACTTGACAATGAAAAATCACAACTGGCCCCTGAGTTGTTGATTAGGTCTTGCCATCTGACAGACCATCAGCTGTTCTGAATTAGTAGATGTATATGCCTCTTATGCAATGAGATACATTGTGTGTTTCGATAATTGATAGATAATTCTGTTTTTTAATAATCAATATTTACACTGGTTTCAACACAGCCTTTTAAACAAAATTTCATCTATTTTATACAAAAAACCCTCCCTGAGTAGTCTCTATTAACCACGAACAAAAGCTCTTAAGTAACACTGAAAACAAACCGACCACAAACCCATATTTATTAAGGACTGCATTCCTGCTTCTGGATTCTGAACTTAGCTAGATGTTATCCAAGACAGAAGTATTTTTGCTTACAATTACATTTTAGTTGTAATATCTCAGTCCATTTAGTAAGAAGGTTAAGTGACATGACATCAGATATAAGCCATACCAGATTTCCTAGACAAAGGTACAGAGCCAAATTCCATCTTATATTTCATGCAGCCACACTAATGTCAGCGAGTCTCACGAGTATAAATCTATGCAGAAGTGATTAAAGGGATGTGTTCATTTTATTTACAGTCATCTTCTGTGAAAAACAAATTTTCAAAGAGCAAACAGCTATCAAATACTAATACTCCTACCATAAACCAGTTCTAGAAATTGCTTCTAACATTTTCCTACTGTCTGTTGCTACCACCTGCTTCACAAATGATAACAACAGTGACCAAACTAGGGGCTGAAAGCACCTGGCATTTTAGTCCCATATAACCTCGCTGTGAGCAAGAAATGCTAAGGAAATGGTGGCCCCCTTGAGTCCAGTCTACCGTAATGTTCCCGTTACTGCTACCACTAAATTATTAGTGACCACAGAGCAAAATTATAAGAAGATACAGATTTGTACATCGGGAATCACTTAACACATGAAAAATTAAACTTGTTACAAATATGGGCCAAATTCGCAAGCAAAGAATCTTTCTAATACTTGGTGTAATAATATTCAAAACAATCTGCAAAAAAGTATTAGCATGCCCACTCCCTAGGATGCATCCTACCTTACAGAGTTCAAAAACAGTGCATGCCACTTTAACTGCAATATCATAAAGTAAAAGATTTTAGCAAGGAAGCCACCAGGGTCATAAAGAGAACTCTCATTTCTTCTAGAGCTGCAGCTGTGAGCCCTCATGAGACTGCTACTGACACGGATCATCGGTTACAATTAAATGGACTAATTTAAAAAAAAATTTCCCCACACAGCTTTAGAGAACTGCGGACATGCAAAGTTCTATAATATTTG